GGGAAGGATGGTACTATGGTGTGGATGTGTGTCCCCACCAAATCTCATGTTGAAATGTAATCCACAGTGCTGGAGGTGGAACTTGGTGGGAGGTGTTTGGATGATGGAAGTGGACCACTCCTGAATGGTTTAGTACCGTTCCCATGATGATGAGTGAGCTCACAAGAGAGCTGGTTATTTAAAAGTGTGTGGCAAAGCCAGGCACGGTGGCTCACGCCTGTAATCCCAGCACTTTGGGAGGCCAAAGCGGGTGGATCACCTGAGGTCAGGAGTCTGAGACAAGCCTGGCCAACATGGTGAAATCCCATCTCTACTAAAAATACAAAAATTATCTGCAAGTTGAACCCAGGAGGTGGAGGTTGCAGTGAGCCAAGATGGTACCACTGCACTCCAGTCGGGGTGACAGAGGGAGACTCCATTAAAATAATAATAATAATAATAATAATAGAATAAAAAATGAAAGTGTGTGGCACCTCCCATCCTCTTCCTCTTGCTCCTCTTGCTTTTGGCATGTTATGTGCCTGCTCCCTCTTCACCTTCTACCGTGAGTAAAACAGCTCCCTGAGGCCTCCCCAGAAGCTGAGAAGACACGAGCACCACCTGCTGAACTGAGAGCCAATGACATCTCTTTTCCTTATAAATTACCCAGTCTTAGCTGGGTGCGGTGGCTCACGCCTGTAATCCCAGCACTTTGGGAGGCTGATGTGGGCAGATCACAAGGTCAGGAGTTCGAGACCAGCCTGGCCAATATGGTGAAACCCCATCTCTACTAAAATACAAAATTTTTGTAAAAGTACAAGCCAGCTGTGGTGGTGCCCGCCTGTAGTCTCAGCTACTTGGGAGGCCGAGGCAGAAGAATCACTTGAACCCGGGAGGCGGAAGTTGCAGTGAGCCAAGATCGTGCCATTGCAGTCCAGCCTGGGCAACAGAGGGAGGCTCTGTCTCAAAAATAAATAAATAAATAACCCAGTCTCAGGCATTTCTTTACAGCAATGAAAGGATGGTCTAATACAGATGGGGGAATTACTAGGGGTTTCCATTTCTTCTTCCCACCATCAAAGTTTTCATACTACAGATCAGAGAAGCCAAAGCATTGTGTCTGCCATTTTATAAGTATGTCGATTTCAACTACACTCTCAAGTCCTGAGAAAGGAGCCTCACAGGGTCTTTAAAGTCCCCTTGACCCACTGTATGTTGGTCTTTAGGTGAATCCTCCATTTGTCACCTGACACCCCCAAGCACACCAGTCAGACCATGATTCACAGTGACCTTTGTGTGCCTATTGATCAGGGTTGATTCAGAGTCAGAGTCCAGTAATCCTTTCTCTAATCCCCAGTGACCATGGACATTGGCCTTTAGGAAAAACGCGAAGGAAGGTTTAAAATATATACTTTGACTAGCATCAGTGAGTCCTCCCTGAAGGAAAAGCATCCCCTACATGGAAGGGGTTCCAACACTGAGAACTGGCTCAGGGCTAGTAACAGGTGTGAGGCTTTCTGGGTGGATGTGCTGGTGCCTCATCCAGATCTCTGCAGGTACAGAACACTCATTTCTAGGCAATGTTGCTGCTTGCAGATGCCACATTCTCAAGAGACTTGCTCTTGGCCGGGTGCCGTGGCTCACACCTGTAATCCCAGTACTTTGGGAGGCCGAGGCGGGCAGACTGCATGAGATCAGGAGTTCTAGACCAGCCTGGCCAACATGGTGAAACCCTATCTCTACTAAAAATACAAAACCTAGCTGGGTGTGGTGTGGTGGTGCGTGCCTGTAATCCCAGCTACACAGGAGGCTGAGGCAGCAGAATTACTTTAACACGGGAGGTGGAGGTTGTAGTGAGCCAAGATGGTGCCACTGCACTCCAGCCTGGGTAACAGCAGAGTGAGAGCGAGACTTCATCTAAAAAAAAAAACTAGAGACTTGCTCTTGACCTGAGAGGAACATGTTTTACTAGCTAGGAAGGTCATAAAACTTTCACCCCTGGAAAAGCCCATAAAGATTAGAGGTTAAAAATTCAAATCTTGTCTTTGTGATGGGGTCCCTCTGAAGTCATAGCCTCACCTGGCTCCTTACTCTTCCCCATACTGCTTTCGTCACTCCCTTTGTTCTGAAAGCAAACTCTCAAACAGTTCATGAGCATCTGAATCCTCGTCTCAGGCTCTGCTTCTGGGAAACCCGAGCCAAGGCCCTATGCTGCCCCACTGTGGTGACTCAAGTCTGGTTCTTGCTCACCAGACCTAGAGATGGTATCATTCCAGAGACCAAGTATCACTGTCTTGGTGCTTCTCATCACACTTTAAGAGGAATTGCAAAAAACTCAAGTTGTGAGGGTTGTGCTAACTGGGGCTCTCATTAGTGATCCCTTGGGAATTTCTGTTAGTTGTTTTTTGAGACGGAGTCTTGCTCTATCGCAAGGCTGGAGTGCAGTGGCACAATTTTGGCTCACTGCAACCTCCGCCTCCTGGGTTTAATCAATTCCCGTGCCTCAGCCTCCCAAGTAGCTGAGACTACAGGCCCGTGCCACCACGCCCAGCTAGTGTTTTGTATTTTAGTAGAGACGGGGTTTCATCGTGTTAGCTAGGATGGTCTCAATCTCCTGACCTCATGCTCTACCCACCTCAGCCTCCCAAAGTGCTGGGATTACAGGCATGAGCCACCACGCCTGGCCTGTTGTTATTTTTAAAACAGAGTCTTGCTGTCGCCCAGGCTGAAGTGCAATGGCGCGATCTGGACTCACTGCAACCTCCACCTCCCAGATTCAAGTGATTCTCCCCGCTTCAGCCTCCCAAGTAGCCGGGATCATAGGTGCCCACCACCACACCTTGCTAATTTTTGTATTTTTAGTAGAGAGGGAGTTTCACCATGTTGGCCAGACTGGTCTCGAACTCCTGGCCTCAGGTGATCCTTTCGCCTTGGCCTCCCAAAGTGCTGGGATTACAGGCATAAGCCCCTGTGCCCAGCCTGGAAATTTCTGTCCTTAAGGGGAAAAGAGGAGCATGGCTGAGTCTCTCATGAGGTCGCTGCTAAGATGTTGGCTGAGGCTGCTTTCATATGAAGGCTGGACTGGAGTTGGAGGCCCATGTCCAAGATCCTACAGGTTTTGTTTCTAGTGTGCCTTCCCCATACACAGGCAGCCTGCTCCATGAGGAATTTGGAAGCCAGGAATTGTGGGCTGCTTTGTGGAGTGGTTGATTTTGTTGTTGTTGTTTCTTATTTTTTGAGCTGGAGTCTTGCTCTGTCTCCCAGGCTGGAGTGCAGTGGTGCAATCTCGGCTCACTGCAGCCTCTGCCTCCCGGGTTCAAGCGATTCTCCTGCCTCAGCCTCCTGAGTAGCTGGGATTACAACCATGTGCCATCATGCCCAGCTAATTTTTGTATTTTTAGTAAAAATGGGGTTTCACAATGTTGGCCAGGCTGGTCTCGAACTCCTGACCTCAGGTGATCCACCTGCCTTGGCCTCCCAAAGTGCTGGGATTACAGGCGTGAGCCACCGTGCCCAGCTGGGAAGTTGGGTTTTGAAGACAAGGCAAGTAGAGTGTGATGGGATGGTGGGTGTGGGGTCAGCGAAAGGTTTTGTTTTTGTTTTAGACAGGGAGGTGAGTGTGTTTACAAATTAGGGATCTAGATAGGAGGGAAGAGAAAGAGAGAGGGAAGGGAGAGAGTGTGAGGGAAAGAGAGAGAGAGAGACGTCAAAAGTATAGGGGAGACAGCTGGGTGCAGTGGCTCATGCCTGTAATCCCGGGACTTTGGGAGGCCAAGGCAGGAGGATCACTTGAGCCTAGGAGTTTGAGAGCAGCCTGGCCAACATAGCAAGACCCCATCTTGATTAAAAAATGTTTTTGGCTGGGCATAATCCCAGCACTTTGGGAGGCCGAGGCAGGTGGATTACAAGGTCAGGAGTTCGAGACCAGCCTGGTCAAAGTGATGAAACCCTGTCTCTACTAAAAATACAAAAATTAGCTGGATGTGGTCGCAGGCCCCTGTAGTCCCAGCTACTTGGTAGGCTGAGGCAGGAGAATTGCCTGAACCTGGGAGGCAGAGGCTGCAGTGAGCCGAGATTGCGCCACTGTACTCCAGCCTGGAGACAGAGCCAGACTCTGTCTCAAAAAAAAAGATTAAGATATAGGAGAGAAACAGAGAAAGGTTAGAACAGAAACTCAAGCAATTGGTACCAATGATATCCGGTGTCCACTGAAAGGGAATTTCTCATGACCAAACCCCTACTTATACAGATGGTGAAACCGATACTCTCAGAGACAGAGAAACAGAGAAACTGACTTCTCAAGAGCAGTGGTGTGAAAACGTATTTATTTATCTATTTATTTAGAGACAGAGTCTCCCTGTGGCACTCAGGCTGGAGTGCATGGTGCAGCCACAGCTCACTACAGCCTCCACCTCCTGGGCTCAAGCAATCCTGCCTCCTCAGCCTCCTGAGGAGCTGGGACCGAGGTGTGCACCACCATGCCTGGCTAATTTACTTTTTGTAGAGATGGGATCCTCCTATATTACCCAGGCTTCTCTTAAACTCCTGGGCTCAAGGGATCCTCTTACCTCAGCCTTGCAAAGTGCTGGGATTACAGGTATGAGTAACTGTGCCTAGCTGTTTTGTTTTCTGGGACAGGGCCTCACGCTGTCACCCAGCCTGGAGTGCAGTGGCACAATCACAGCTTTCTGCAACCTCAACCTCCCAGGCTCAAGTGATTCTCCCACCTCAGTCTCCTGGGTAGCTGGGACTGCAGGTGTGTACCACCACACCTGGCTAATTCTCTTTCCTTTCTTTTTCTTTTTCTTTTCTTCTTTCTTCTTCCTTCTTCCTTCTTCCCTCCTCCTCCTCCTCCTCTTCCTTCTTCTTTCTTCTTCTTCTTCTTCCCCTCTCTCTTTCTCTCTCTCTCTTTCTTTTGTAAAGATGGGTTTTGCTATGTTGCCTAAGCTGGCCTCAAACTCCTTGCTCAAGTGATCCTCATACTTCAGCCTCCTGAGTAATTGGGCACATGCCACCATACCCGGCTACGCTTTGTATTCTTAACTTCCATACTATACATGAGATTAAGGCAACCCATTTATGCACATAATTAGTAAGTCAACAAAAACACCTTGAAAAATCCTGGGTGTCAGCTGCCTTCTGAGCACAGGTGACCTAGGGATGAACTAAAAATAAACACGACTAAGATTTATCAAGTGTTTACAGCGGGCCAGGCACTGTTCCAAGATCTTCCACATAGTAACTAATTTATTTCTCTTAAAATATTTACAAGGGGCTGTGCCCATTCTTTAGAGAGGAGGAATCTGAGTCACTGTGAACTGAAATCACTTGTTCAGGGTCACACGTAGAGATGCAGATTAGAGAGTCTGGTGTTTAGAAGGGTCCTGAGCAGGCTAGAAAAGCCCCCGGGCCCAGCGTGGGTCATTTCCAAGCCGAATCCTAATGGAGGAGTAGCTAGGAGACTGTTGGGGGAAAGTAGGCCGGTGTGCCTGGTAGGGGAGACACCCTAGGCAAAGGCCAGGAGGTGGGAACCTGCTGGACTCACTTTGTGAGAGCTGCAAGGGCTTGTGGGAGATGGAGAGGGGAAAGGCCCGAATGGAAGAGCGTGCCCCAGGGACGAGGGGTGTGAGTTCTAGGCCCCAGGCTGATGTGATGTGTGATCACCCACCAGGGAGGCAAGGGAGTCAGCCGGCCTTTCTTTCAGCAGCCCCAGCACTCATTATCTGTCCCACATCCCGCGTCTGTGCAGCGGTGGGGCACAGCACCCAGTACCTTGGGTACAGAGGAGGTTTCAGGGGACAAAGTGGAGTGGGCTGGGGGCCGATGATGCCATGTGGGGCTGAAGAGAGGATCAGAGGTGTCTCCAGGGTCAGAGCTAGAGGCAGCGGTGAGGGAGGAAGGTGAGGGCTGGCTGGGCAGGGCTGGGAGCTGGGTTCCACTTCCTCCTCCTCCCCTTCCCGCCCTGGCCTCTCTGGCTTCACCAATGAGCTGGGAAAGGGGAAATTCTTGAGTGTAAAGTCCAGCAGGTGGAAGGACCAGGCCTGGGACTCCTGGGTCCCCGGCAGTGTCTGGAGGCATGACTGGGGCTGGTGGGGGCCTCGGGGCCTGGCGGAGCCTGGTGCTGCTGGTAAGTGCTCCCTGCCCAGAGCGGGCTCCTGCCGGGTCTGAGGGAGAAGGAACTGGGTCCCTGCACCCCTGTTATGAGGAATTAGGTGCTGAAGATCCCTTAGAGAAGGAAGAGGGCTTCAGGCTTGATAGAGACCATAGGAGAGTCTTCCACCTGGGGCTCTCAGATACTGCCGTGTCTGCTGCTAGGGGACACACGGCTGTGTTCAAAATGAGTGACAGACAGGGAGCAGCCCCACCTCCCTCAGACCCAAAAGTCCAAACCCCAGTTCCTCCTCCCTCAGACTAGGAGTCAAGATCCCCAGCCCCTGTTCCTTCAGACTAGGAGTCCAGGCCTCCAGCCCCTCCTCCTTCAGACCCAGGAGTCCAGACCTCAGCCCCTCCTCCCTCAGACCCAGGAGTCCAGACCCCCAGCCCATCCTCCCTCAGACCTAGGAGTCCAGACCCCAGCCCCTCCTCCCTCAGAACTAGGAGCCCAGACCCCAGCCCGTCCTCCCTCAGACCCAGGAGCCCAGACCCCAGCCCCTCCTCCCTCAGACCCAGGAGTCCAGACCCCAGCCCCTCTCCCCTCAGACCCAGGAGTCCAGACCCCAGCCCCACCCCCCTCAGACCCAGGAGACCAGACCCCAGCCCCTCCTCCCTCAGGCCAAGGCTCCTGGTCCCTAGCCTTGGTTTTTTCCTCTCTTCCCAGTCTGTTCATTGCTCTCGGCCCTCAGTTTTCCAAGACCGTATATTTCGGGAAATGAAGTCATTAATTTTATCTCTCGGCCTTATTGGGTGGAGCCAAGCCCAGCTCCCTGAGCTCCGCCCCTGCCATGCCCCCCTTCTCTCTTCAACCCAGGAAAGACGGTTGGGGTGACCTTTGTGACAGCCAAGCCTAACGTGGGCCCCTCCCTCCCGTGCAAGGGTGACTCACTCCCAGGGCGGGGGACCAGCTGCCCCTCTGAGCCCCACCTCACTGGGCGGGGGAATGGCTCAGAGGCTGACTCCGTTTTCTCTGGTCTCCCTCCAGGGCCTGTGCAGCTGGACAGGGGCCAGTGTGGCCGGTGAGTGACCCCTGCCTGAACTCACTGCCCACCCGAAGAGGTGGGACCCCAACTCTCTTGAGCCTCTGGGGAGTCCCGGTGGTCCATGGTCGGGGCTTTTGAGCGCTGTTGTTTCTGCACTTGGGGCAAGAGCTCTGGGGGTGGGGAGGGGTGGCATTGACCTGCTCCCCTTTGCGCTGGACTCTCCTTCCCAATTCTCAGCCCTTGACCCAGTGAGGAACCTGAGAGCGGAGAATCAGACCAACAGCTCCATCACCCTGAGCTGGGAGGCCCCCGAGGGTCTCGACCCGAAGAACTCCACCTACTGGGTTCAGTGGAGTCGAGATGGTGGCAGCAGGGAGACTCGAAACACAACAGACACCAGAGTCACTGTGGACGGACTCGAACCCGGGTCTTCGTACGCATTTTTTGTGTGGATAGAAAAAGATGGAGAGCAAAGCACCAGGGTGAATCTCAGTACCTCCACAGGTGAGGGGCAGCCATGGTTTTCATCTTTATCATTATTATTTTGAGACAGAGTTTCACTCTTGTTGCCCAGGCTGGAGTAAAATGGCGCAATCTCGGCTCACCACAACCTCCGCCTCCCAGGTTCAAGCAGTTCTCCTGCCTCAGCCTCCCCAGTAGCTGGGATTACAGGCATGCACCACCACAGCCAGCTATTTTTGCATTTTTAGTAGAGATGAGATTTTTCCATGTTGGTCAGGTTGGTCTCAAACTCCTGCCCTCAGGTGATGTGCCAACCTCAGCTTCCCAAAGTGCTAGGATTACAGGTGTGAGCCACTGTGCCCAGTTTAATCTTCATTATTATTATTATTATTATTATGACATGGAGTCTTGCTCTGTCATTCAGGCTGGAGGGCAATGGCCAGATCTCAGCTCACTTCAACTTCCACCTCCTGAGTTCAGGTGATTCTCAGGCCCAGCCTCCCGAATAGCTGCGATTACAGGCGCACCTCCCCACACACACACCTGGCTAATTTTTGTATTTTTAGTAGAGATAGGGTTTCACCATGTTGCTCAGGCTGGTCTCGA